TTACTTAAGAAAACCTTATCTTAAAATACAGTTCGCTAGTTTGTGTTCATCTATAAGAAGTCTACATTCAATTTTGCCTTCTTGGGCTGGGACAGAGAGCAGGATGAGCTAGCACTGTCTAAATGTCTCCTGGCACTGGCATTATGCAGTATTATTACACAGTCTTAATTATTTTATCTAAACCTCCTTCTGTTGTAGGAAAATAGCACAGTATTACTGTTTGCGCAGGGTATTGACAATAGTAACTTTATAGTAATAGTTGAAATGAAGTAGTTATATAGGGTGAAAACACTTTTAACTGATTGTTGGTTATGACCCTGGTTCAGCAGAGCACTTAAGTACATTCTTAATTTTATATTAATAAGGTATTCCATGGAAGTCAAACAGACTACTTCCGTCTGTTATTCTAATAAGAATAAACTTTATCCAGTTCACATAGACGATAAAATGAACCCCACTGTTGAGAAAATGCATTGCCATTTGTGATCTAGCCTGCTGGGCATATTTTATCTGATTTATGGGTATAATTTTCATGAGCGAGTAATTCCTATGTGAATAGTGTGTGTGACTGAGTACCAAATTTTTGAACAGCATGGAAAAGGGTAAAATTACAGTGGATAGACCAGAGTGGAGTTTGATTGTTGTATTTTTCTATTTCACTCTACACAGATGCAAGTGGGTTCCCTAGAAATAACATTTTCAAAAGTAGCTGAGTGCTTACAGTCTGTAGCTCTTTCAAAAGCATCTTTCTATTTCCCTGGTTGTGGGCAGATGTCCAGCAGGTCAGAATGACAGAGAGTTGTCCTAGTTTATGTTACTGGGCAGTTGTTCAGTTCATTTCTGAAAATAATTAACAAGGGGAAGACAGATCTAAGCTGTCTTGCACTGCTTAAGGAATTGCGTAGGGGCTACTAAATCATATGAGCGTCTGCTCAGCTGATCAGTTTTAGGGAATAAAATGGTCATTGGGCACAGGAACAGCAGCGACAGTATTTTTAATTCCCAGTTTGGGTTGGTAGATCATTAGTTTATGTAGGTATACTTTAGGTATAGAAGCATTTTCACAACAGATTTTTATATTAGAAAGGAGCCACTTATGGGGCTGATCTTAACCTCCCAACCATTTTGTAGTGGTGCAAAGTATGATTTATGTGCAGATTTTCTCTGCTGTGAGATCACAATAAAGTTGTGAACAGATAGTACCATTAATTCAAAAATGCTGAGTTAAATGGATCTGATTTTGGGGGAAAGTTCTGGTTTGCCATTATAGTCTTACAGTTGCTTGCAATTAATGTTCATAGATTTAATTTGGTTGTATTTCATGATGAGGAAAATACGTATACGTCAACCTGAATCTTGCCCATCATGAGTTTTAGATACCATCAATTGCAGTTAAGGTTCCTTTGTTGAAGAAAGAACATATTGCCTGAAAAGAGGAAATAGCATTTTATTTTATGCTGAAGTGCAATAATTTCCTTCTGAGAGACTTTCAATTATGTATGGATGTTTTATGTAGGCTTTTTGTATATGCAGTGTGCACCTGAAACAGCTTTGCAGCAGATAACAGACCTCTTAACTTCCAAAGGTTTATGTGTTCTCTGTGTTATTAAACACATACACTGATGGGGAGGGGGAGGGAATATGACAGAACGATGACCTTTTTCCAGTGTTGTTGGTTATGGCATAGGAAGCTGTTGGAAAATGATTGCTACAGAGCTGAAAAGATAATCGGATGCAGTTCATTACTCATCTTGTCAGCTGCTCCTGCTACAAGGGATTGTATCACAAGATGTTAATCTACTTGTGACTAGATTTCAAAGCAAGCATTTTTATTTTGGAGGGGGTGTATGTAATTTAACATCTTTCAATTTTATTTCATTTTCAGAAGCAAGAGAAATGGAAAATTCCTGATTTAAAGTCTCAGAATATTAATTGATAGAAATATTAGTACATCCTTGTGGGTTCTGTTACAAAAATATGATGATATGCTGCGAAAAGCTATTTAATTGCAGAAGTTGTTCTTTTTAAGCTGATTATGAGGTTGAGTATACCTTGAATAGTGGAAGTTAGTCTGCTAGCACACTTCAGTGTGTTCTGCAAGACAACAAGTATAGTATAGACACAAGACAGATTTGGACCAGTAAAAGTCCTAATTACACATTGGATCACTAATGTGGATGTACTCAGTGCTCTGATACATTGTCTACAGTGAGGATATTTGGTGTAAGTGTAGAGGAGGACCATATTCATTAGTTAACGCTCTGCAGATGGGAAGATGACAAGAATGCAATTTTAGCTAGATGGCCTTTTCTAAAAGTGAAAGGCCCAAAAGAGCAGTTACTTTCTGATACTGTGTTGCTCACAAAGCTATATGAAGCATAGGGGAAGGCTTATAAACTTTCCATGACATTAAGATGAGCCAGTAGGTTGGCTGTGTACATTTTAGGGAAGTGATACTGACCGTTTTTCTTCCAGCTTCATCCTGCTTATCTTGTTAAATCCTTGAAGAAGTTGTCCAGTACAAGGGGCATTCCTTTAATTTTCTGCTGAACTGGAGAAAAACGCTCCCTTGGCTGCCATTTTTGTGTCATTTACTAGTATTGATTGTTGTCAAATGGTATTGCACGTTACATTTTAAATAGTTAAATTATAATTTTCATTGTGAACTACAGGCATCGATGTAATCTCTGTTAGAATACATTATTTAAAAAATAAGCAATGAGACACTTAAAAGTAATTTAAAAAGTAATATACTGAAGTATTGTGTGAGCAAAAGAAATTACAGATTTAAACAAAATAAATTGTTTCTGGATACTCATGGTTACATATGGCACTTCTTACTCCCGCAGGAGTATCTCATGCTAATGCCTTACTGTATTCCAATTCTGGTAGCTACAGTCCACCCACTTAAATACCCCCTGGTGTATGTGTAGGCAACAGTATTCTCTGGTTTCTGCCACAAACTCTTACATGGTCTTCTCAGTGCTATTAATCAGCAGCTATATTTCACCTCCAGAGAGACTGCATCTCAGCACTGGGCAAAGTGAAATATTGTATCATAGGTTATAGAAGCAGCCAGTAATGACTCTGTAGATAGTAGTTTTAGTTGATTCAAAACTGGGACATTAATTATTTTTGCCCCTGAACATTTTTGACTGAGTAGTCAATCAGTATGAAATGTTACTTGAATTTTCCATGTAGCTTTTCCTGTCTCTCTCTCCTCATACATAATACAGTTGTCTAGCTGAGACAACATGAGGGCCTTCTTCACCTCAAAATTCTGATGCAGTTAATGAACACCATTTGCCCGGGTCAGAAGACACAAGCTAATGGGCAGAGGCTTAAGTGGTATGGCTGTGGCTACCTATGCAAATACGTGCATGACAACATAAGTATGTATGTCTGACTTGTAATATATAGAGAGAAGGAGGTATATACAAAAGTTAAATATTTTCACTGCAACGTTAAATGTCATCACATGTATGTTACTCTTATTTGTTACCATGTTGAATGTGACAGCTCAGACAGGAATGTCAATGTGGAAGGGTACATACCTGGGTTTTTTTCTGGGCCCTTTAATCATTATGCTTTCCGCTGAGACTGTGACAGAGATGTAGATGGCGATTACAGTAATGAAAAAAAAGTTGTTTGAAAATGCGCTGTAAATATTTTTCCACCTCCATTTGATTATTCAGAATTTGAATTGAGAACCTTCTGAATCATTTTCTGATATAATAATTTTACTTTGCCCATTTATGAAAGTCAAGTACAATTTTACAGAAAATACAAACATAGCTATAAAATAAGTTGCTTCAATTTCTGAATTCATTATTGTCCTCAAGCAGTCAAAAATGAGCTTCCATAATCCCAATTTACTTTATCATTTAGTGTTAATTATCATACATTTTATGAGTCCAAAGCATAAAAGATATTCTTTCTCAATTCTTAACCCATGACCCATAAACTTTATCTTTCTTTTTCTTTAAAGATAAGGGGTAGGATTGGATGAATTCCTCATGTAATCACAGAGTTTGTGATGATAATCCTACTTTTTATTATTATTACTTTTAAATGTATCAGTGTTCTTTTGACTGATTTCCAGGTTTTATATTAATTCTTTAAGATGATAATTTTTTTTTACTGCAACTTGAGCTTGAACTTGCAGACTAGATCTTCAAGAGGAATGTAGTGGTATGTGCTTATGGATGAAATTTTAAACACCTTCATTGCTTCGCATGTTACTGTCAATGCAAGTAAATAGAATACATTTTTTGACCTTTGTCATCTTAAGTGGTAACTCAGTTTTACTAAGCAAGTTTACAGATGACACAAAACTGGGAGGAACTGTTGACTCCCTCGAAGGCAGGGAGGCCCTGCAGAGGGACCTTGACAAATTAGAGGGGGGCAATCACCAACCATATGAAGTTCAGTGAAGTGCCGGATTCTGCAACAGGGATGGGGCAACCCTGGATGTCCATACGGACTGGAGAATGAGATGCTGGAAAGCAGTGCCACTGCTTTCCCCAGGGCTGTCCACCAGGACCTCAAGGTGGCAAGTTGACTATAAGTGAGCAGTGCCCTGGCAGCCAGGAGGGCCAACCGTGTCCTGGGGGGCATCAGGCAAAGCATCGCCAGCTGGTCAAGGGACGGGATTGTCCTGCTCTGCTCTGCACTGGTGTGGCCTCACCTTGAACATTGTGTGCAGTTTTGGGCACTGCAATATTAAAAAGATATTAAGCTATTAGAGAGTGCACAAAGGAGGTCAGTGAAGATGATGAAGGGCCTTGAGAGGAAGCCATATGAGGAGTGGCTGAGAGCACTTGGTCTGTTCAGCCTGGAGAAGAGGAGACTGAAGGGAGACCTCATTGCAGTTACATCTTCTTCATGAGGGGAAGAGGAGGAGCAGGCACTGATCTCTTCTCTGTGGTGACCAGTGACAGGACCCAAGGGAATGGCCTGAAGTTATGTTAGAGGAGGGTTACGCTGGATATTAAAAAAAGTCTCTTCACCTAGAGGGTGGTTGGGTGCTGGAACAGGCTCCCCAGGGAAGTGGTCACAGTGCCAAGCCTGACAGTTCAAGAAGCATTCTGTGAATTTAGAGTAGTTGGACTTTTATATTTAATAGATTATCTTCTCCATTTTGTGGTGCTGGGCAGTGCAGAATTTGAACTGACATGATATTCCTCTTTTTTTTTTTTCTGATTATCATTACTAGAGTGATTTTGTCAAACTGGTTAATGTATGCAATAGGGTCAGTGGATGACATGTACCTTGCAATGAAGAAAACTATTCTGTTCAGAGCAAGTTTCCCCTTCCCATGAAAACACTGGACAGTCTTCCAAGTAGCGGGCAGGACAGTATACCCATCCTCATCTCATGTAGTTTTTCAAGCATGCAAACAGGGACAAAAAAAACAGAAAGCAAAATGATACTTCAGTGCATGACCATAAGTGCCAGATGTTGAGAGCAGTAAGGAAACAGCCATTGCCTCCCTGTCCTTTTGGCAACAGTGTTTCCACTTCTGACAGCAAGCCCTGTTGGCACAAGGCAGTGAAGAGTCAACTGTGAGGTTTGCTGTATTTTCATGTGGTTTATGTTTTTAGAAACAGGAACTCTGTGTGCAGCAGAGCAACATGCAGTGGTGTTGGTCCCTGGTCGGAGTTTGCCAGCACGCTTTAATGGCAGGAAATAATTGCTGTGATGTAGCTGGCATGAGAACCCCCACGGAATGTGAAGGTCACTGCAGTGCAAAGAGATTTTCTAACACATCTCCTGAGGTGTGCTGCTTTGGGCTGCACTTGTACCCCTAGAGAGCTGGGAGCATTTCTATCAGATGTGGAGGAAAATATTCCGTTGGAGACAAGACCAAAGCTTTTGTTTTTGTTTCCTCCAGTGCTTTTACTAGCTCTAAACCTGAGAGAAACTTCTCAGATTTCATTTACTTTGTTTTTATTCTCAATGATGAAGAGCAACTTTGACTGGAAGCATTTGCATTCTTTAAGATTTTTTTAAAAGAATATGTTTTGAAACTTGTATTTCTTTTGTCCCTTTGTCTCAGGATGGCCAGTCTGATATTTTGTACAAATTTTGGACTGCAGTAACTCAGACACTTTCCTCTCAGTTTCAGTCAGCAACAGACTGTAAGTATTCACTATAAATGATGTGTAATGTGTTCAGTAGTTATTTTGAATCTCTTTTCAGTAAGTCCATCGCTCATTATCTCCTCTATCAGAACCATAGCAGTGGTTCCCTCAGAACAAGGAGTGTGAATTAAAAACTTCCTGATTTTGTAACCAGACAGGACAATCCTCCTAAACTGTGGTTGAATTTTCAGAAAGAAGTATTTGCTGTTTCATTAGGTAGTTATTATTGAATAACAAAAAAGTATTTTTATGTGGAGGTAAAAATGGTTGGAATGGTACATTATAGTTCCTAAAGCAAAGAGGTTGGCCAAATTCAAAACAGTAATTTGATTTTAAAGAGCAGTTCTTACAGTCTTTTCTTGTTATACACTGATTGGTTGTAAAAATCTGATTCTAGACATTTTTTGGATACCTTTATAAGTAGGAGTTGAGTTTCTTCAAGACTTCATGTCTGAATAAGATAAATGGCTGCTGTTCTGACTATACACAATATTCTGTACATATGTACAGATAGCAGATACAAACAAGGAATATTAAATAAAAATAATGTAAACATAAGACAGTTCTATTACTAGTACATACTAATGCAGCATGCAGTTGGATCATGAGTGAGTTTGGTGCTTTCATAAACGTATCTTTCACGTTTGCATGCAGTGTATTAAATTAGTCTTTTGCACATAAAGTGCACGAGATGTGCATTTATCTTTGTGATCTCAGCTATGGCCGTTCAAAATTTGGTCCTTCCAGACTTCATAGCGGCAGCATAATTTTGAGGAACTAACTGGTGGATTCATGTTCACTGGTTGCTAAGTAACTAGATGATCCCAAAAGAAAATGTATTCATCCTCTGTTAAAACATATTAATTTTACTGTTTTCCTTATGCACTACTTTAACAACAGAATGTACATACCCAGAAACTCCTGTGTTCAAACCAAACATGTGCTACCTGTTTTCAGCACTCAGTTTTAAGATTATAAAATTGTGACGTCATTAATGGGATCAACCAACATTACAGAACTGAGGGAACTGTTACATTTTGTCAGCTGTACTTTGTCTAACATCTGTCCAAAACTATTTTATTACTTGCTATTTTTAAACATGGTTTTTATATAAATGTTTAGAGGTGGTTTTGAATGAGAATGATGTTTTTTACTTGTTTTTTTACTTTTTTTACTTTACCTTTTTTTTTTTACTACAGCTGAGTTTTGGGGAAAAAAATGTTTAGAGTGAGTAGACTTTTTATTTAAATGAGGCATCTGTATGAGAATGTTCATTTTTAACATGCAAATTCCTGGTGATTGAATCAACTGACATCAGTCATGGACTCTGGATTGTATAGATCAGAGGAAGCTTAGATAATATCAGAAAAAATAGTGTAAAAATAGGAATTCATGGTAGTTTACAGTGTTTGCTGATAGATTGTGATCTACTTTTGTGAGGTTGGGACAGTCTTTATAAACTTAGCTTCATGACCTAAAGTAACTCTGTGCTTTTATTCACATAATAATGTGAATCCTCCAGTATTCAAAATTAGAATATATTTGAGTTGAAAGCACGGGCTGGGTGAAATCTGGCAGATGTCTGGAACCTGAAAAACCTACAAATGAATGGAACAGTGTTAATCTCCTAATGTAATGGGAAATCCAAAGAGTATGAGAGATGTTAGGTCAAGATTAACAGTTGCTAAAACAGTTGTACATTTGTTTCATTTCCTGTTACTTGTGGCAATCCTTTCAAGCTGAAAATAATGCTGATTTTTCTTCTGGCTTTGTCATTCTTTGACAAGTTTAGGAATTCCATGTTAAGTACCTTGTTTTAAGAACTGTGTGCAAAAGCATATGCTTCCCTCATCACATTTCTGAAGCCTTTGGTTCATAGGACTTGTCTTTTTCTGCTTTAAATGGATATCTTCAATGTAGCACAGCCCCACACTTTTCTTCCATCAGACTATAGATTTAGAGAGTTCTAATCACACTTTGGCCTTAAATGAATGATGATAATTAAGTTTGATACCAAACTTTTCACAACCATGATTACCATCTTTATTGTACAAATAAGTTTTTCATGTCTAGTCTTCCAGTTGTGACTTTTATGCTGTTACTTTAGATACATATGTTTGTCAAGTGCATTTAATGTGATAGCTCATGCCACTTTGAAATTAATATTAAATTATTAAATTATTAATATTAAACTTAGGACAACACTGTGTAACATTAATTGATATAAGTGCAAGGATAGAGGTTGTTTATATGAGTCAAAAAAATTGGTTTGAATTTCACACTGTGTATTGCTTACTGCTTTGTTTTGCAGCCTCTATGTTTTTGAAACAGGCATTTGAAGGAGAATACCCTAAGTTGCTGAGGCTTTATAATGACTTGTGGAAGCGCCTCCAACAATATAGTCAAAATATTCAGAGGAATTTTAACACAAGTGGAACTACTGATCTTTTTACTGAGCTACAGCAAATGGAAGAAGATGCACAGGACATATTCATACAAAAAAATGAAGATTATGAGTATGTATTATGAACTGTAAGGCTATAAAACATAAATCTTTGAACCCCGTAAGAAAATAGAATATTTTTATAAACTTACTGTTACTCAAATTGTCAGAGGGGGAAAATTTTTAAGGGTTTTTCCCCCCCTTACATTATTGCTTTAATACTATTTTAGAGCTGTGGGATTTTAATTAGGCTATGTAATGGCTATGTAATTAACAGTGTTGGGTTGTCTTGTCTTTCACAAAGTCTCTGACTCTGTGAACAGGCTCTATCTTTTTGTCTCTTTGGGTGAAAAAAATAGCAGAATGCTGAAAATTCACTTTTGTATGCATTGCGATTACAGCAGTAGCTTTCTGCTAATGACACTGCAATCATTTGAGTGTGACAAATGCTCACTTGTTATGATTCACAGTTTTTAGTTTATACATCATAGAATAAATGTGATCTAAATGGTAGATATCAGAAAGATCAAACTGAAACAGGTTCATCAAGTCTAGGACTTCTAGGCTTATATAAGAAAAAAATGAATATTTAATATGAGAATTTTATTGGCTTAAATACATTCTTGAGCAGTCAGTGGGAGACTTATAAGAATGTTTTTCAAGTGTATATGTTTAAAGAGCAGAAGGAAAAACAGGTTCAGTATTGCAAGGTTTGTATGGTCTGGAAAGATTTAATACCGTTGTGTATTTTAATTTAAAATGTAGTAATTTTTTCTTGTACCCAAAGTCCAGAAAAGGCCTTGAAAGATTCACTGCAACAATATGAAGCTGCTTATTTGTCAAAATCCTTGTCTCGACTCTTTGACCCCATCAATCTTGTCTTCCCTCCTGGAGGTCGGAATCCTCCCTCTTCTGATGAGCTTGACAGCATCATTAAAACTATAGCCAGGTATGCACATGCAAGGCATTGCAAAATGTAATACTCAACAAGTATCAGTAATTTTTCATAAGTTACCATTTTAGAGATGAGACTTCCTTAGCAGTAAAAGGTTGATTACTCTGTAATTATAAAACAAGTTAGTGTAAAAATTAAGTAGGATTAAGGATAGGCTAGGTTAGTCTAGAATAGCATTGCATGGCATAGAATAGTTCAGCTGGAAAGGACCTACAATGATAATCCAGTCCACCTACCTGAACACTTCAGGGCTGACCAAAAGCTAAAGCATGTTGTTAAGGGTATTGTCCAAATGCCTCTTAAACACTGACAGTCTTGGGGCATTGACCTCCTCTCTAGGAAGCCTGTTTCGGTGTTTGACTACCCTCGTGTTAAAGAAATGCTTCCTAATGTTGAGTCTGAACCTCTCTGGTGCAGCTTTGAACCATTCCCACACCTCCTCATACTGGATCCCAGGGAGAAGTGCTCAGCACCTCCCTCTTTACTTCCCCTGCTTAGGGAGGTGTAGAGAGCAATGAGGTCACCCCTCTTTATTATTATTTATAA